GCGACCCACCCCGCGACCCACCCGCGACCCACCCCGCGACCCACCCTCAAAGGAGGAAACACCACACGGACCCGACAATTGACGTGTACTAAACGGCCCTGAGCGTTTACTAAACAGCCCTGCCCTATTCGATTGATTCCTTGTGTGCGTTTACTCGGGGATCCTCTGACCCAGGTCAATCCAGACCCGGGTCAGCAGGAAACCAAAAACTGCAATGCAGGAAAAAAAAACTGCAACGCAGGTCCTCGCAAACCCGGGTCGGCCAATACGCGCGGCCGCCTCGCGGCCACGAGCGGCTCCCTAACCCGGGTCAACCAGAGGGGGCCTTCGCAGGATCCTGCAGGATCCGGCGCCCTGGCTGACCCCCGTTTGCACTGACCCCCGTCTCGAGGCTCCCGATTTACTAAACGACTTCGCTTGCCGGGGTGACTATTACGGGGTGGATTTTCTGCCCTCTACACCCGCGACTCACCCGCGACTCAACAGCGACCCACCCGCGACCCACCCGCGACCCACCCGCGACCCATCCGCGGTCCACCCGCGACCTACCCACATTGGTGTAATGAAGAGATCGGCGCCTGCGGCGGGCTCGTTGTAGAATTTGTGAAACTTTGGCGCCTGCGGCGGGCTTTTTCAGAGTCTCGCAAACTGCCGACGTCCCCACCGCCCCCTCACTCTTATCCGCATCTGCGGGGTGCTACGTATTCAAGAGACCCCACGAGATCCCAAGATCGCCGAAAGAGGCCCCAATAGGGAACCGCGCACCCCCAAATCATCAACGAAACCGTATTCACAGATGTTTGCTGCATCGCTGCGTCACTCACATCCAGACGCCTACAAAAAGGAAGGATCACTCCGCGCCCCCCGAACTCCCGAGATGCCCACAGGATGGCACCAGCGGCTCCCAGCTTGTCTTCAGAACGGCCAAGAACTTCATGGCCCAAAGACCCTCTAAAACGGCACCCAGGACCATCCAAAACGGCACCCAAGACCCACTAAAACGGCACCCAAGACCCACTGAAACGGCACCCAAGACCCACTAGAACGGCAACCGAAGGCCCTCTAAAACGGCCCCAAGAAACCCCCACGCACCCCCAAGACCCTCTAAAACGGCACCCAAGACCTCCGAATGGACACCGGCATGGCTCCGCCAAAGGGAGCCCCAAGAGAGCCCCGGAGGGCCCACCCAAAGAACCTGCACGGCCCCGCGAAGGTCACAAAACAGGACCTGCCCAGAAAGAGGCCCCAAAAGAGGGCCCTGCACTCAGAAAATGGTCACAGCTCGGCCTGAGACCGCTCGGCAACGGAGTGAGGAGAATCCAGTGTGTAGGAAGGGATGTAGGAGATGACTGCGGGACGGTATTCTTCGCTTTGGAACATGTTTCGCCCAGCCCTTCAACTGGCTACACGAGAGTGGCCCTGGAAATTATCCTGGCGAAGGTCCCAACCATATGCAGTTGTGGGTACCGCAATTGTGAATATCTGCTTCGGTGAAGCTCCCTACGCGGCCACGAAGCGCTGCACTGGGCGGGGGGGAACGCTGTACTGTGTGGGTGGTGTGCCGAATTGGGTTTCCGGGACGCATGCGGGCGGTCCCATTGAGGGCTTCGGTGGAGCTCCCTATGGGGCCACGAAGCACTCTACTGAGTGAGTGAAAATGCCAAATTGGGTTTCCGGGACGCATGCGGACGGTCCCACTGGGGGCTTCGGTGGAGCCCCCTATGGGGCCACGAAACGCTGCACTGCGCGGGTGAAAATGCCAAAGTACATTTCCCGGACGCATGCGGACGGTAGCACTGGGGCCTTCGGTGGAGCCCCCTTATGGGGCCACGAAGCGCTGCACTGGGTGGGTGAAAATGCCAAATTGGGCTTCCGGGACGCATGCGGACGGGGGCACTGGGGCCTTCGGTGGAGCTCCCTATGGGGCCACGAAACGCTGTACTGGGCGTGCAGGACGCATGCGGACGGTAGCACTGGGACCTTCGGTGGAGCTCCTTATGGGGCCACGAAGCGCTATACTGGGCGTGCGGGACGCATGCGGACGGTAGCACTGGGACCTTCGGTGGGGCTCCCTATGGGGCCAGGAAGCGCTGTGCTGGATGGGTGAAACGCAGGGAGGAGTGGGAGGAGGACCACGAAACGCTGTAGTGGGTGTGCGGGACGCATGTGGACGGTAGCACTGGGACCTTCGGTGGAACTCCCTATGGGGCCACGAAACGCTGTACTGGGTGCGCGGGACGCATGCGGACGGTAGCACTGGGACCTTCGGTGGAGCTCCCTATTGAGCCACGAAGCGCTCTACTGGGTGGGTGAAACGCAGGGAGGAGGGGGAGGAGGGCCACGCAACGCTGTAACGGGTGTGCGGGACGCATGCGGACGGAAGCACTGGGACCTTCGGTAGAGCTCCCTATGGGGCCACGAAGCGCTATACTGGGTGTGCGGGACGCATGCGGACGGTAGCACTGGGACCTTCGGTGGGGCTCCCAATGGGGCCAGGAAA